GGAAGTCAACATGATGAACGACCTAGCTCTAGAGCTGTGCAAAAGGAAACGCGCCGCGTGGGGAGCATTTAAGAATATCGAGGGAGTAGTGAAGAAGACAAAGAACATCTGGCTCCGCGCTCACCTTTTCGACACTGCTGTCCTTCCTGCTTTGACGTACGCCTCGGAGACCTGGACTCTAAGAAAGCAGGATGAGCATGCTGTCAGCGTTACTCAACGCGCTTTGGAAAGGACGATGCTCGGAATTTCCCTATACACGCAAGTGCAGAAGGGAATCCGGAGTTCCGAGCTCCGTCACCGAACGAAGATCAGGGATGCCGTTGATTACGCCAAGAAATCGAAGATCAGGTGGGCCGGACACGTTATGCGATATAGTGATGACCGTTGGACCAGGGCGGTTACTGACTGGATCCCTCGGGACATCAAACGAACTCCAGGAAGGCCGCCAACGAGATGGTCAGACTTCTTCACGAAAGCTCTGAACGAAAGGAATGTTGAACCTCGTGTCCCTGAAGCGAGAACGATTCACTGGACCACTCCGGCTCGTGACAGGGACGAATGGAGACGTTACTGGCGCCCGCTCGAGGAAATCGATGATCAACGGGACGACAGGTGATACAGGTGATTTTGTGATTAAAACAAATTGTTCTTTGATATTAAAAACACATGAAGACTGATAGCCGAATCTACAAGCGCACAAGCTAAACTTCGAGCGCGTTGTTTCCATTGATAAAGACGCCTTGTTTCCATAACCATGAGCACATTAAGCGAAAGAACAATTTAATGCAGAAAGTGAAAGGAATTTTGGAATACTGCACTCATTCAAACTCGTTTAGAAAACAGACAGTACATTTTTTGAGCGTGTGGGCTCATGCATGGGCCACACAGTGCTGAAATGAGACGATACAAGGTTGAACTGAAAAAAATTTGGGCCAATCCTAAAATCTCGAAAAAAAAGGCTAAATTCAGGCTAAAAAGTTTATCTGAAATACCATAACATAAAATCATACTAACTTGAAAATCTAAGTAAAACTATGATGTTATAATCCTACCTTGACCAATTGTTGAATAGCTACGTTAGGACCGTGCGCGTCGGAGAGCCTACTGTCCCGATAGGTGATAGCCATCGAATCAGGTGGCACATATCTAAGTGGTTCCATGGTAGATTATATTAGCTGTTTCATCATCGAATTCTTACTCATTGAGAACTAAAAAATTTCTAAAAAATCTGTTCAATGCAGAGGTTCCTATGGGACATTGGAAAATGCGAAACTCACTGGAATTTCCTATAAGCATCGTCTAGTGCGAGATCGACAACCGGTCTTACCTTAATGGTACAGCAATTATTTCTGAGAATTTATTCTTGGAATGTGCTTTGAAGCAAATTATAGCAAAGCAGCTGCTGTAAAAGCGACAACTACTTATGTCCCATGACGCACCTTGAGGATGGAAAGTTTAAAAGGGTTCTTGAGTTCTTCTGAGCTTTCTTCGAGTGGTAATGGAATAATTATATGAACTGGATGAATCACCGACACCTAAAATTTTCACGAGTGACTTACTTTAAAACCTATTATGGTAACCAATAAGTAAGTGCCGAAACTCCATCATGAGAAACAATAAAAAAGTTTTAAAAAATAAAAAATAAGTTAGGAAATAAAAATCCATCCCAATGATTTCAGATGAACAACATAACTAGTTCCTAAGCAAAGAGGTATGAAAAAGTTCCATATTTTCACCCCAAAAATAGAGAGTCGAATAGAAGACGTACCGGCTTATATGATACAACATCTCTGAGGGCCAGTAGAAGCAACAACAGGCGTTGCATCTCATTTCCGTCTCATAGCAGGATGTCTGGAAAGAGTGCTTAAATCACTCAATCAACTCGGAGTTACATACATGTGCACTTTCATATATGAATGGAAAGACAATGTTTGAGAAAAGTCATAATCAGAATGTCAAGGAAAAAACTCTGCCTGGGAGAGAGTGGCGTGGGAAAGTCGAAAAGATTTTCCGAGGAAGTGAAGGAGGGCTACTAGTGCACAGAACTCTTCTGAGAAAGAAAGGGATGAGAAGGAAGAGGGGTATCCTGATGGAATTTTCGGCCGGCAAATGGACAGAAACACCGAGACACAGAGACGCATTGCTGGGCCGTCGCGTTCCTCGGCCTAGACTCAAATTGGAAAACAGAAGATTACGTCACGAAGGACTGGATTTCCGGCATTAATTGAAAAATTCAGTCCGCGGTTATTCGATGTCCTACAGGAATGAAATTTTGATTAGAAAGAAGAAGTATTCAAAAATATCCCAGATCCATGGTCCGTTGATTTGTTCAGCTTGCGACCTTTGCGAGACTACGATGGCTCGTTGACAACAGACAGACAACGTCGTTAAACGACACTATCGCAAGCCATCGTAGTCTCACATACCCTAAGAGCTTTAGAGACAAAAAGCTGACATTTATTCCATTCGTAGATTTTCCCAACAATTGCGATCATTAAACCGAGGCCTCCTTTCGTTCGTTTCAAGCCCCAAGGGGCACAGGGTCAATTGGCATCACAAAATTGCCTAGCTTTTCCTATGAATGACGATTCTTTGGCGTGGGAGGCAGTGCACCTGTCTTTTTTCCGTTAACCAATCTTGAAACTGAAATCCTCTCAGTGTATGCGTGCATAGGAAGACTTGAAAAATTGCTAGCCATCGAACGTCTTTCTCATGTAACTCTAATCCAACCAACGCACAATTCTTAGTGAAACACTGGAGAGTTTGGCTAAGATGACTGCCATGAGAATCCCGCTTTGCGTCGATGATAGCCTCCTTCAAGAAGGATATGTTGTGGTGGTGAAGTTGTTGTGAAGCTCACTAAGCATTCTTACGTAACAAATAGGAAAACTCTGATAGCAAAGTGCTCGGATAATTGCTTCTCTCTCTGCAGTGCCGACGGCCTCCATAAATCGGCGTAAGTAAGAAATAACGTCTCGGGCTTTGGAAACACTTCAGTGAGCCTCATAACCATGTGGATATAAATCAGTTGCACTAAACCCTTTAACACCTTGCTTGCACCATGGCTGTCCTTCGCAGTGTTGAGTATGACTCGTGAGAGAATGAAAGCTGACACTTGAAGGTATTCGCCCAACTCTGCCAGCATCGTACGATTCTTTGTTGTTATAGTAAGACGAACTCCGGAAGCGGGGAAGGGGGGGGGGGGGGGGGGGGGGGCTGGTGGAGCCTGAGATGGAACACATTCAGATGGATTCTCTTCTTGAGAAGGTCGAAGCAGAAGGCCTAAATGGCTTTCTGAATTAACCCTCGGATTACGGAGAATCAATCTGTCCTCAAGTTATCAAGGCAAGTCATTCCAATGTTTTTGCTGGAGAAGATTCTTTTCACTTCTCTGCATAATTGTGCAAAATCGGATAATAGATGGTAATTGCCTGCAGCTCATGCGGTTCTACGCTGAGG